CCCATTTCCCTTTGTAGGCAGAACTTTGTGAGAGCAAAGACTTTTGATTTTTCTTTATATTTTTATCCTTAGTTTTCAGAATAGTGGATAGCACAAGGTAAACATACATCATGTTAGTTTCATAAATAAGTAAATTAATTAGCAAACTAAATATTTACAAAGTTATCAACTTTGGTGGTGAATGAGACTGACTGAACTAGCAATGTATTCACTCAGAATTTTTCCACTAGTAAGTGGAGTTCTTCTAGCTAACATCTTGAAGTTTCGATGAAAAACTTGTTAATCTATCTTTTGGGAGTATTTGTTACTCTTCAGGACTGTTCAGTGTAGAGACCCATAGTCCTCTTCAGTAGCACAGAGAAGTTGTCTAGATTGCACTTTGTTTTTCATTATATTCTTATGAGGATTTCAAGAAGGAAAAAATCAGCAAGTGTTTTGGTTTCCAGATAAGACGACTTACATAAATAAAGAGTTAAAATGGCTTAGATTTGAAAAAAGTGGTATTACAGCTTAATGTAAATAGAGAAAAAGCAGTTCTGAAAAATGCTAAATGCTTTTTTAAAAGAAGCTTGGTGATTTCTTTGCCAGCAAGACACAGTAAAAGCTTTAAGACTAATATGTAAACTGATTTTAATAGGAAAGAAAGTCATCTTGCAATAAGAGCTTTGCTTTAGCTAAATGACCATAGAACTTAAGATTATTGAAATAAATTCTGGGTTTGCATTTGTTGGAGGAGGTGTTTTGCTGATTTTATGAATTTGTTTTGTTTTGTTTTTACCTCCAAACTCTTTGTCAGCAACATTGGTTGCTCAGGCAATGCCGTTCTCTCTGCAATTCACACACATTTGGCTATTTGTCATATTGATTTATTAGCATTTCATAGAGAATCAGAGATGGTCTGGCCCAAGATCTTGTCCTGAGCCAGACCTGAGCTTAGGTCTCAGGACTCAGCTCAGGTCTCAGGACTCCTTGTCCTGTCCTCTCTCTTCCATATCAAAGGTCAGAAACTCAAGTGCCTAAAGAAGTCAGACCATGTAAATGAGCAAAGAGATTAATGAAGGAACAGTTCTCACTTCCACAGAGAAGTTTCTCCTGCATCTGTACTCTGGCTCAATTTCTTGTTCCTTCCTTTGCAGAGAAACGTATCTTCAGCGCAAGTAAAACATTAGTGGAATCGTGATGATCAATGGATAAAATGTGGTGTGCTTTGCTGGGGAGTGGTGGGGAGCCTGCAACCTCTCACAGCTGGAGAGAGGAGGCCTGTGTGCAGGACCAGCCATCACTCAGCCAACTCTTGCCATGTGGGAAATAATTCTGCAAGAGAAACCAGAATCAGGACTTTAAGGGCAAGCTCCCAATTTAAAAATATTGGCTCGTTTTATAAAACATTATATATCCTAAATAAAATACATCTGTGGGCCAGACGCCACCTTGCACTACCCAGTTATGATCTGTGCTTTCGACTGTTTTGAACTGTTGTTTCTCCATGTTCCTAGCACAGATGCTACCTTGACAAGGAAGGGCCCAACATCCTAAGTTACTCACCATAAGGTGACTTTTCTGTCTTGGTCTGAGAAAGACCTGCCTCCAACCATCTCCAGCTTCCTTCCTGTCCCAGTAGTGTTTAGCTTTCCAGCCTACTCTTCAGCTGTCTGCTCTTGGAGCCGAAATCTAAGAAGATGGCAGAAACAAGAAAAAGTCGCAGTTAGACTAGTTCTGTCAGTATATTTCTGAGGCAACCACTTGGCAATGACAGTCGTTGTTGTGAATCTGGTTATCTCATTGGGAAACAAATACGACTTGTGGGACACCATGTTCTTCTATACTGTACTAAATGCATTAGAGATTAGAACACAAGTTCTAAGGTCAACCCTAGGAACAGACACTTCCAGACTGCTGAAGTGAGCACTCAGTGATTTGACCAACTGGTGCGTCCTTTTTTAATCAGAGAGGCCTTTACCACCAAATGCTGTGGAAAATAAAAAGTACAGTGGGCTGGGGTCCTGTTCCCATAACCATTTTCACTTTTGGGCTATACTCATTCTTCTTCATAATAGATATTATGAACTGATAGCCACCTACACAATTGGCACTCACCACAACCTTCCCTATCTTGGAAATTTTATTGTCCCCTTTTTGCTGAAGTACAGAAATGAGGCTCTGAGAGTTTAAGTAACTTCTGAAGTTTTCACAAAAGATAAGGATAGACAGCAAGACTCTATTGGCAAAGCCCTTGGTTTTTTTCCATATCTTAAAATGTGGGCTTGCTTATTATTATTCACCTATGCTGAGGCTAACAGACTGAGAGACAGTTGCCATTGGAAAGCTAGTTTGTTATTCTCAATTCCCTGGAAGAGAAGAAACCCTGACCCTGTGGCAGCATCAGGGTCAGTTAAGAGTCAAGAGGGAGGGAGGAACAACCTCAGGCCAGAATCTTTATCTAGTTTTCTTGGGAAGGAATATAGCAGGGTAGAGTAAGCAGGCTTGGTGTAGGTCACCTTGTATTATTTCAGCAGGCTCTGGGGGTAAAAGGGCTGTCAGCTGGTATCTGGTATCTGGCTGGGATTAGAGAAACAAAAGAACCCCCATGCAAGAGCCAAGAGGAAGGGGTGTACAGAGATAAGCTCTGAATTAGTTGCTTTTCATATGAAAAAGGTGGAAAGCTTTCACCACCTTTAGGAGTTGGCCAGCCCTGGGAGAGACTGCCTCTCCAGAGTCAGCTAGGCCCCAGATGTCAAGGCATCCAGAAAACAGAAAACAAAAGGGCAGAATTATACAATCATATTGCCTTTTCTTATACTCCAAATTTAAAAGTCATCTGACTCTGATTTTCTTAGATTCTGTAACTAGTCTGTCCCTAAGCTTGCTTTATTTTCCTCAAAATGGGTCTCATTCATTCATTTCAGATACCAGGCATTGTTCTAGGGACATATTGAGGCTGTTATTTTGAAAGTGTCCAGAGTGCAGGATCAGAGACAGACTAGACACTAAGGATTGTAAATGAACTTGGTAAACACTGCAGTAGGGCAAGGACTGGGGTGTGTGCCCTGTACTCCCACTGTTGGCTTCTGATCCTCGCCTGCATTTCCTGTTCACTATATTTTATTATCTCCCTCTTCTGCACACCCTGCTGGATAAATTTTCCTTATCTTTTCATCATTTTGTTCCCTCAATCCAAGTCATTTCCTATGGCTACAATTCAAAAAAGTATGAACCATTATCTGACTTTCAAGATACACTGTCTATCCCAACTCCCCTCATTCATCCATATTTCTGCCACTATACTTATTCTCTAATTTAATATGCATTTACGCTGTGACCAATGTGTGCCCATCACAAATAGATACAAAGGTGAAATTTGTTAAGAATCACCGAGAAAAAAGATGTAGTGTTGTGTGAGCATGCTGTACGCTTCCATGGTTCATTCATCCCACACTCATTCCACAAATATTTATCAAACCCCTGTAAGATGCCAGGAGAGCAGGTAGTCCAATTCCCTCCATCCTTACAACCATAAACGTTTTTTCCTTCTTCATGTCTCTGTAATTGCCAAATGATGAATGACTACCTTACTTTATGCTACTAAATATTGTATTATTCCTTTTCACTGTGTCCCAGAGCCTGAGGACTGTTCCTGGTACTTTAGTCATCCAGTAAATACTAAATAATTTCATTCATGGATACACTACACATGTCCTCCTGTAAGCTCATTCAAATCTCCTTCCTCTAAACTCCTCAAGTACCTCCCATAAAAGAAAATAGCATCAAAAGTAATACCTTTAATTATTCATTAATGATCTCAGTGGGTTCATCTTGATGCACTCCCAAGTTTACAAATTCTTTGAGGGTCCAGAATATGCCTCATCACAGTAACCCAAAGTTGAACGTCTAGGAAGTAAATATTCAAAACTCACATGATTTTTTTTTTCATTGAAATGACCAATGGTTGTTAATTTGAAATATTTTCATAAAACTACACCAATCCAATGGAACTTTAAAAGGAGGCTGACAGGTCAAAGAGGTTGTTGAGTTCAAAGCAGTGACGTGCTCAGAGTCACACAGCAGGTGAGAACCAGAGCCAGATCCCAGAACAAGTATTTTTACACAGCCTTGGCTCTCCGGAAACATGCTCAGAGAGCCTATCTCTAAAATAGCCAAAATCACCAGTCTGTTCATGGTTTGAATGAAAATAAATCCCTCAGAATTGGTTGTTTAAGATTCCTAGAGACTCAAGTAAACATGGACAAATGCACATCTTGGGTTCAGGGACCCCCAGCACAGTGTGGCTGTCGAAGCAGGAGGAGCAGAGCTGGGAAGCACTGGTGTTCCCAGTGCACAGGACAAGCTGTTTTGTTTAGAGCCATCCAAGGGATTAGGAATTAAATCCTAGATGTGTGATTTCAGATGAGAAGATACTATCTACAGAGTTCAGACATTTCTGTCCTTGGAGAGCTGCCCTGGTTTTCCCTGGGACAACCTTTCTGTTCAGGGAGGTGCTCTTGACAGCTCTGGGGCACCTCATATTTTCTAAACTGGGATTCCCTCATTGTACTCCTTCCCTCTTCCCCTTTATCATAGCTGCTACATTAGTAAAACACACTGAGTAATTCAAGGTTTTGACACTGCCCTGGGTGACAGCCTGGATTAGGAGGGGGAGTGATGTGATCCAGCCATAGTACTTTTAACAGCCAGACCCCCCACATTGAACTTGAGTTACCCTTCCTTCCTCATTCCTCCTTCATGAACCTGATGCTACCTGCTACTACCATTTTAGCCTTGGGATTTTCATTTCTTCTCTTTAAAACTTTTGGTTTTATAAATTCCAGAGGTTGACACTAGGTTAAGGAAAGCTAGTTCTGAAAGAAACAGATTATCCTTTTAATGTTCTTGGATTCTCAATGGACAAAGAGCTGGAAGAAACATATTTTTTTATGTATCCTTTCTACCTTAAACATAGATTAGAGGAGCTATAAAACTGACCTATTACTCTTATCTTTCAGATAGACCACCTGGTACAAGGCCACCCTGCCTTCCCTGAATTGCAAGCCAAGTCCACAGCCAGGTAACTACTCTGTTTTCCCTACAGCTTTCCTTGTGTGACTGCATAAGTGATATTCACTTTGGGTGTTTCATGACCTTCAGATCCTATGGACAGTGAATACATCTGACAGGACTTGGTTATAAAATACTCAGTCATACGGATGGTCCAGAACATCATTTATAAATTTTTAGAAAGATCCGAGACAACTCTGAGAACCTAAAGATCCTATAAGAATATGCCCAGGGCTCTGGATGAAAAACTCTGATGTAGATGAAAGTGTCTGGATTTTAGAGTCAAAACTTCTTGAGTTCATATCCCAGACCTTGCACAGGTTATTCAACCTCTTTAGGTCTGTCTCTTTACCTGTAAACTGAGCATAGTAGCTGATGTGGAGTGGATTCTGGGACATATTAGTAAAACTAAGTGTAAAGCAGAGTTTACAACATACTCTCTTTCAAGAAGGAGATATAAGAAAATATATGTGCAAAAGAAATACTGGAAGATTTCATCAGAAATTAGTGGGATTGGGTACATAAAGAAGATGGGTAGAAATGACATGGAAAGTACGTGGGAATAAGAGCAGGATGGTAGGAGAGAATACTGCTTCTCTGAGTACTTTTTTATGTAACTGGCTAAGTCCTAAAACCATAGTGATGCTTCTTGTTTCCTTAAAATGAATACAGATAGATAGATAAATCAATGGATAGATAAATAGAAAAATGAACCTACTGTATTACAAATAAACAACATAACCACACTAAAGGGAATTTGGGAAGGAAAAGAACTAACCCAGATAACTTTGGAAAAGGATATTTTGACAGTATGCTGAATAGTTAAAGATAAAAATAAGTCTATATAAAATATGTACTTCTGATAAGTAAATTTATTTTTTTTTGTAAGTGTATGGGTTAGCCATTTTTCAAATCTTTTATGTATATACTTCAATTGAGCAAGTAAATAAATATATGGTAGAATATAAAAGCCAAATTTCTCACACATTGTGAAAGGATTTCACCACAAGATACTTATTGATACGAATGGAAAAATAGTCCATTTACAGTGGAGAAATCTGGCAGACAACACCTTTCCCAAGTTAACAGCACCAGCAATAAGATATGTCAATATCATGTACCTGCCTTTATAACATACCGAGGACACATCATTTCTGGAATGTTCTTGCCCAAAATATATAAACTCAGTGTCAGCTCAAGAAGATATCAGACAAGCCCAAATTGAAAGCTAATATACTAAATTATTAGCCGATAGGCCTCAAAAGATTATGAAATGTAAATACTAAAGAGCTGTCCCAGATTGGAGGAGACTAAGGAGTGACCTGTGCTTTGTAAAGCCACAGGCTGTTTCTCAGACCCCCTTTATGTGTACTCAACAGCATGTGGTAGCTCTGATTATTGCTCTCTCCTTTTAATATTCTGGCTTTCCAAAATGTTACCCTCTTCCAGTATTCTTCCTATGTCTCTGACTCCTTTTCAAGCTCAGGGTCCTTTCTTTGACCATCAACATCAAAGTTCATCACAACTGGGTTCCTGGCCCTCTTGTTCTATCTTTTCATCTCTTCCAAGGTGATCCCAACTATGCTCTTGACTTCATTAATTTTTATATTTTAATGATTCAAAGTTTATCTCCAGCTCAGATGTTTTTGCAACAATATTCATTCTCTTCCACCTTCTTTCTTTTGTCTTGCAAAGGAAAGTGCATCTGTATCCCATCAGATCTATGAATGCAATATTCTGGACTATGTGACCCATTATGCTTCAGGTCTCAGAATGAAATAGGCAGAGCTGTTGCTAAAATGAAGTTGGCTGTTTGAAAGGGTGGACAAAACCCTTGGAGTCAGGAACCACATGCCTCTTTTGCTTTGACTTGGGGCATTCTGAAAACATCAATGTAGATCACCTCTATCTCAGAGCTTAGCATCAGCAAATCCTGTTTGAAACTGTAGAAACAAATGTTGATAAACAGATTGAGTATTTTATCCTCTTGATTTACCATAATCCTTTTAGGCCCCATCTCTGAATATAAATGTTTTGTGAGCTTGTAAATCATGTAAGCAATAACTAGATGTGCCCATAACATGTAACTGGCAACCAGTCTCTCTGCATGGGGCTACAAATGCAGATATTTCACTCCTTGATTGTAGATCACTTTAAATTGATTGTAACTTCAACTCTTTTCTCTTCATCTTGTTTCTCATATGAAACCTTAACTAACAATGCCTCAGAATGAAGTTCTGTTGACATCAGATCTTTGAGGAGAGGCTATTGGAATAATCTGCAAGAACTAGGTTCAAGGTTGGCAGCACAGTCAAGGTTAAAATCCATATCTTATGAGCATATCTAATGCTAGAGTAAACAAAGCAAAGTCCTTGTTTTGATAGAATTTATATATATATATATATACACACACACACACATATATATACACATACGTACATATACATATATATGTATGTGTATATATATTTATATATACATATTTATATATATGCACACACAAATATATAAGTATATATAATTATACTATGTATGTAGTATATATATAGTACTTAAGTAACTGCATAGTGTATGTATACATTATACATAGTATAACTATATATGCATACATGTATGTGTATATCTATGTGTGTATACTTATGTATATGTGTGTCTGTATATGTATATATATATATATATATATATATATGTATATCTATATCTATATCTATATATATAGATATATATATATATGGAAGGAACAGCAAGTCCCAAGGCTTTGAGCCAGTGGCCAGTTCGGCATCAACAGGGAACGTTGTAAAGGCCACTGGCTGGACCAAAGTGGGAGAAAGGGGAATCAGATGAGGGCTGGAAGTGAGCCAGAGGTCACACCATGCACGTCATTGTATATAACTAAGAGGACTGTGGTTTTCTTCAAGGTTTTAGTTGATTTGGTTTGGTTTCTTTTGTTATTGTTTTTGTTTTTTTGGAGGTGGGGATTGAACTTGGGCCTCACAAATGCTAAGCACACGTTAACCCTGAGCTATACCCCAGCCCAATAGTTTTAGTTTTTAAGCAGAGGAGAGATACAATGAGATTTGTCTTTTAAAAGGATTACTTTGGCTGCACTGTGAATAATAACTAGATTATTTGTGAGGAGATATAGACAAATATGGGGAAAATAAAGCTGCTTGGGTATCCCTTGGCAAGCTCACGGTCTGCTGGGGAAGACTGTGAACAGAACAGAAAAGCCAGTCTGTTCTTTCTTCTGCAGAGGTCACTGTAAGCAGTGGTCATCTCATGGTGAGTCCATTGTTTTCAGGTCCTTTGGAATTTTTTCTGTTAGCTAACTCACATTTTTTTTCTCTCAACCTCTCTTTTCTTTTAACCACTTTCCCTAGATTTTTTTCATTATTGCTTTAAGGACAACTCATTTTTCTTTATCTGATTTCTTCTTCAAACCTCTCTTCCATCTGTGATTCCCACAATTCCAATGAGACTCTTAAAATTCACCTGTCCTCTGTATGCCAACTCTCACATACCATTAAAACTTTTTACTAAAGTCTATGTGATTCCCCTTTGAACAAGGACAGAAAAAAAGAAAGAAGAAGGACATTTATTAAGAATTTGCACTGGGTCTGGCACTATGCATGGTGATAGTTTCAAATACACCTTATGTAATTCGAGATGAGGAAATAAGATTACTGGGAGTCCTTGGACTTCACTTCTAAAGATTATTCTCCCTTTTCATTCTGCACCTGTATTTTCAGATCCCCCCCTTTGGCCTTTATGGCTTTTTAAACTGCAGTCTTTCAGTTTGGCAACTGGGGCCATCAGTCTATCACTAAGTATTTACTTAGCCTCACCAGAGGGAGGGCAATTGTAGAACTAGCATGATAATGTTAACACCTTTTACAGCTCAGGGTGTGCAGGCAGGAATAATCAGTATTTCTTGATGGCTGTCAGATTGGAATTGTTCTTTAAACCTAAGTAAACTATTATTACCTAAGTAAACTATTATTACAATGCCTTTCTTTGGCTACTTTCCATGTAAATAAAAGAAATTGCTCAGGGCATTAGGATCCTTTCAAGAAAACCAAGGGCTATGTGGATTTGGGAAGTAAAACCTTAATTTTCTACTCTCAAATCATACCTATAGCCCACCCCAGTGCCTTGCATATTGACCAGGGGAGGGGACGGTCATAAGATGCTTGTTTCCCAGCATGCCTGTGAGGTTGTGTCCCTTTGGCTCCTGAGATGCCCTTTGTCAACCAGTGTTTCAAGGAGATGCAGAGATGTCTGTGATGTATAAATACTTAGGTTGGGGAAAACCTGAATGGTCCATTGAGCTGCTATAACAAAATACCATAGACTAGATAGTCTGTAAATAATAAATTTATTTCTCTCAGTTCTGGAGGCTGGTAAGTCCAAGATCAAGGTGCCACAGATTCAATGTCTGATGAGGCACCACTTCCTGGTTCATAGAATGACAACTTCTTACTGGATCTTCATGTGGTGGAGGGTCAAAAAACCTCACTTGGGACTCTATTATAAGGGACCTAATCCAATGAAGGTTCTGTCCTCAAGACCTAATCTGTCTGCAAAAGGCTTCACCTCTTAATATCATCTTCTTGGGGTTGGGATTTCAACATTTAAATTTTTGTGTGGATACAAACATTCAGACCACAACCCCTTTTATGGCAGCTTTTTCAGAAGCTCATCAAATATGCTATTTTTCCTCCATAAATTATGGAAATGATACAGAAATTCCAATTCTATTATTCCATGTAATATCTATATCCATTCATGCATGCTTTAGGAGTAGCATGTTCAGTAGCTAACTGGTAGGGTGGGTAAGATTAAGCCCTACCCAGAAGGAGTTCAGACTCCTGAGATGCCTGTACCACCTTGATCTTGGACTTCCCAGTAATCCCCATTTGCTCACCTGCAAGTGAACAAAATGGAGGAGGTGCCTCTCATCCATTTGGCAACTCCTCTAGAGTAGCACTGTGTGCCAAGAATACTGCTAAA